AAAATATGGCCTTTCATGGCTCAAAACCCTCTTTGGAGTTTCTACCGTAATCCTACAGTAACGAAGAGAGATGGGTGATTCGTTCTAGACTGAAAATCTAAGTTGAAGCCAGCTTTACAAAACGGTACCTGAAGCAAGGCAAAAGACTTGTTGGGAAGAAAGATATCAATGATCAAACAGTGTATACATACTTTGCGGACACCCTGTATATATCGGGTCTGACGCTTAAGTCTTTCGACAAGCGCAGAAATTATCGCCAAGGCTTACACCTCATTTTTACCATGTCTAACTTTCGTTATTTTAATAATTTTTATTTGAGAGTTCTGGAAGTGCGTTTATCAGCTGATAGCGCAAACTTTTTGCAAACTAATGCATTCTTTGCATTTCCCTGCCTCCCTAAAATTTCGTTGAATGATTTTTCAAAGTCTTGGCTCCTGAAAAAATTGCAAAACACACAATTGCATCAAAAACCGCAAAATCTTCGAATAATTATGATTTCAGAACTCGATTTTTACTATCATTCAAGTTACGTAAATGAGCTATTGTCGTTTCAAAATATGATGATTAAAAATCTAAGGTGCAGCTGTGCGAAACTCGAAAAATACGGCGATTATGTTTGCAAAAGTTCCCGTATCGCAAGAAGAAGATAGCCATTAGAAAGAGGAGAAAAGTTGCATCGAGTAGTGCCTAGACCGATTACCATCTCATATTTTACAAGGTTAGAATAGGCAGAATACACGTACAATTTGGTCACTCCAGAAACTATTAGGTCGGTGCAAAAGTTTTGTCAGTTTTTTCAATCCATTGGCAATCACGCTAGAACGAAGATAAACAAAGACTTCAAAAGGTATCCGATGCAAAATTTCTTCCTCTTTCCAGATGCTAAATTCCAGTTGTGTTTCGTTGCGAGAGTGACGAGATATTCGCTGCAAATTACAACCACTCGTTTTTACCATGTCCAACTTTCGCTAATTTTCAAAATTTTCGTATGAGACTTTCGAAGGAGCCCTGATAGCCAGCAGATAGGGCTAACCTTTTGCCAACTTATGCAATTTTTTCTTTTTATCAGCTGCTTTTCCAGATTTTTGCTAAGTAATTTTCTAAAAGTCTTGTGTTTTGGAAAAATTGCATAACCTGTTATTGCACCAAACACTGCAAAACCTACAGAAAACTGAGGTTTTAGCACATGATTATTTCTACCGCTACCATTACAAATAAAATGAGCGATTATAGGTTACGCCTGTGCGCGCTCCTGAAATTGAGAAATACTGCTATTTTCCCCACAAATTTCGCCTGTCTCGGCAAAAAAAGACAAGTATTAGAAAGAGGAGAAGAATCTGCATCGAATGGTGACTAAAGTGTTTAGCATTTTATGTTCTACGAGATCAAAATAGGCCGAATGTATAACTTGGTCACTTCAAAAAATAAATCGTAGAAATTCTGAAAGACAAGCTGTAGGGCTACAAAAAATTGCATAAGTTGGCAAAAAGGTTAGCCCTATCTGCTGGCTATCAGGGCGCCTTCGAAAGTCTCATACAAAATTTTTGAAATTTAGCGAAAATTGGACATGGTAAAAACGAGTGTTGTAATTTGCAGCAAATATCTCGTCACTCTCGCAACAAAACACACTGGGAATTTAGCGGCTGGAAAGAGGAAGAAATTCTGCATCGGATACATTGTGAAGTCTTTGTTTAGCTTCATTCTAGCGTAATTGCCGATGGATTGAAAACTGACAAAACTTTTGCACCGACCTAATATATTCCAGTAATTCTGAGCCAAGAGAATACACTTGCGTCAATAAAAGGTTTGCACTATACGTTGTCCATCAAAGCACCTTCGAAACTCTCAGCGAGAATTCTGAACATTAGCGAATAAACCAAAAAGCATAAATGATCACGCACTGAAGATTATCTCAGCGCTTGTAGAGTCGCATTGGGAACAAAGTTGCTGGAAAGAGGAAGAAATTCTGCATCGAATAATGCTTGAAGTAACTCTTTATCTTTACCTCGGGATTTGCGGGTCGCTCAAAAAAAGGAAACAACTTTTGCGACTTATCAAAATTCTTGTCAAACGACTATCTCGCCACTGCTGCATCAATACCAAGCGACTGTTAGTGTTATTTTGATCTTAGGACAGATCTCATACGGATCCAAGGTTACCTGCGTATAAGAAAAGCGCATTCAAGAAAAGGAGCAGGTATGACGGATGGTTACAGTAGTTGCTGTGGTTATTTTTAGGTATCTGTTATGGTTGTCATGCCGTTATTGCTGTTTCTCGAGGCTTATATCTGAATCAAGAGAAGCGGTACTAGAACTGTTGTTTTCTTGCTGCTGCAGTTTTCTCTCTGATCATGCAAACATTAGTTTTCGCATTCAAATAAGAGCTTCAAACGGGGCCTGGTAGAATGGCCTCTGTCAGGGCGTTTATCACTTTTCAAAAGCAAGCTCCGAAGAGAGTTTTAATGGAAATTCAGCACGTCTTGAAAGGGAAACGCTGTCACCTATGATTTTTGCACTGAACGAGCGCGCGCCATTCAGGAGCAACTTTCTAGGGGTGTAGGGTGTTAGGGACAAACCCAGTTTTCTACCCTAGGAAACTCCCCGCGCAAAACGCCTTCGGCGGCAAAAACTCGGGGTAGGGTTTAGGGTCGGGGCCGATTGGCTCGACGCCATAGAAAGAATGGCGCATTGTTGTGAGTTACGGGGCTTACTCTGCTTGCGTTTTGCTCGTTTTGACGCCAACGCTTACCCTCCACTTTCTAGCCGCAGCGGTAACATCATCAGCCAGACTGGACCTGAAGGTTAGTGGGTTGACCGGAATTCCCAACACAGCTATATCCCACTATCGAATCTGCTGATATACTGGCAATTCACCGTCAACAAAAGACTTCCAAAGATCCACCTGAGTTGTAATCCAGGTAATATTTGGGGCCAAAAATCAAAATTTTTCAGCTATCTTAAGATTCGGATCTCCTTGCAAGAAATTTCTACGGACTTCCAACTTGGTCTTCATATAGTAGATACAAAGCAGTACCCAAAAATGTATTTGTATTTTTCGGGGCTCTTAATTGAGAAAAAAAAGATGTTCCGAAAATGCCGAAGTGCCATTTTTCGGGGTTTTTTTTGTAAAACTTGGTATTTCTCGATTATAAGAGCACATTCAGGTGGTACGGTTTTGAAACTATACTCAGTAAGGCTTGTAGATACAATGACATATGTGGGATGGGCTGCGGGCGGAGCTTGCTTTTTTTTTGGACAATTTTTGTTTCTCGCTTTTTATGCTTGGAAAATCTTCGGTAGAGGCATGTTTGAGTACTACTATGTGCCTATTGTATATGGAAAAAAAGAAATCCTTCCTCTCCCCCCCCCCCCCGCCCTCCTTCTAGCAATCTTTCCATTAGGTTTCTTTCAGAGGGTATTTGCGTATTTGTACACAACGAGGCTTAAAAGGCACGGCCATGAATTTACTTGTACGTGCTCTAGTTCGCGATATCAAATTAAGTTTGAAAAACCTAAAAGAACAACTTTTGTGTTGCCGGTATATAAGCGTATCTATCATGATTCTCAGCAACTTCTTCTATGTCTTCACTAGAAAGTCAACTAAGAGGTCGTAAGGACTCTCATGGCCTAATTTAGTTTTTATTTATCTATTTATATATTGCATCCATAGACGCCTGACAAGGAGGTTGTTACAAGAAAGAATCAGGTTGAAGATCTGTAGGGTTTTCTGTTACAGAAATCCAATTTTCAGGTGACAAAATTTTTCTCGATTTTAACTTCAAACATTCCATGGATTGCGACTTATTGTTAGGCGGATCCTTGGTGGATATTTTGTAGAGCTTGATCTGTTCTATCGAATGGTACCCTAAGTTTGCTGAGAAAACAAAAGCAACTTGAATTATTTGAAAACGGAGTTTACTTTTGGAACAACCTAATAATACTTGGGATATAGGAATAACAACGAGAGGACAATTTTGAAAACAAAGACAGCATAACATATGGGTTAATCACGATTTGGTTGAAGGTTTTACTTCCCGTTACTTTCTCCGTCTATCTCTATCCAGAGCCTGACATTACATGCTAAAGAGATATCATTCATTCTCACGCACAATTTGAACTAACGGGCTAATCTATCTCGTAACTGGTTCCTGATTAGCATGAGTTGGTCACGGTCCAGCATGTTCAAATCGGCCTTAATGCATGCAGCTGGCGGTCACACCTGCTAAACCTTGTATGCAAAAAATACGGTCCACGTCAGCGATTGGTGAAACGCGTCTGATGCTATTTATATACCTTCACTGGCTGAAAGCATAAGTGAAATAAATGCTTAATTTAAAATGGCTGAAGAGGTTGCAAAAAGCACTGAAGTCCAAGAGAATGTAAGTGTTCTAGTCAGTTCAGTAGTGTGGAGCAGTTAGAGCTTGTTGGACGAATATCTATCATAACACTGGTGATTATTACCCTAAAATCTCGCAGATAAGTTCTCCCATCAGTTAAGTCCGCCTTCAGACAGGTCCGCTTTTTAGATTCAGTTAAGGCCCTCCAGATAAGTCCGCCTACAGACAGGTCCATTTTCTTTCCATTATAACTTCCCTAAATCTTGTCAGATAAGTCCGAAGACTGAGAGTCGGACTTTCTGTAGACGGACTTATCTAATGGGAGGACTTATCTGAAAGATTCTTGGCAGTGCGAGGGTGCATTTTCATCAATTTTTCTTTTTAGAGAAGCGGACTTATCTGTAAGATTTTAGAGTATCTGTCAATTTGACTATAAAGGGAATATCGTCCTTCGTTAAAGAAAACTGACAAATGTCAAAAAATAACACATTCTGTAGTCCTGAGAATAAAAGTCGCCTGTTCTTTGAACATGGGAGTAAATCAGCGCATAATCATGTAGCTGATAACTAAGACTTTCTGTAATCTCAAGTGTGGAAACAGGAAAGGGCGGTATTATGTAAAGCTGAGTCGTTGCTGTTACGCTAAATATTTTTTAATATTTTAGCGTGAAGAGTTGGACGACGATCTTGACTATACTGAAGAAGAGGCACAATTTCATGAGGAAATAAAACTTCAACGGCAGGAGGAGGAAGCAGAGACCTTCCGGTTGTTTACTGAAGGTAACTTTTCTCTCTGAAATTTTGGAAAGTGACCCAGAATTGCAGGACGTTCATATGCTTCCCTATACAATGCACAATAGCAAATCTTGTATGAACAAGTTAGCTTCTTCAGCTGCAAGACAGCAGCGGGTCTAAAACAAGTTGATCTGTTAGTGAAGCTGTTTTATTGTATCCACCGTAAGGATAAGCTGGATTGCTTTCCGCTATTTTGGGACATAATTACGGAGATAAAACAAGATTCTCTTTGGCATCGTTGCACCAGCGTATGTAACTGGTTGACGACTTTGCACTGAGCTAAACTACATAACTTCCGCGTATCAAAAAAGAAAATTACACTAGCAAGTGCTTTGCCAATTACCGGTGCTCAAAAAATTTGTATAATTGACGAATTGAATATAATGAATTGTCCATGAATTTGACGGTTGATATATTCTGTGAGGCCGACAGCATATGCGAGTGAATAATGGCCATGGGGCGCAGAATTTTATGGCAATTTTTATGCGCAAATGTTGTGCCAAAGCAGGGCCTTTATATCAACCTTTACCTCTACTGGACTATACCCAGAACAATAAATCTGCGTAGAGGTCATCTCAACGATGCAACCGATACTTTAGCAGACATTTGAATAACCATCAATTGGCCATTTTCATACAAAATTTTTGCAGAGGAGACCTACAAACAACGCTTGAAAAACGTTGCGTTGTTCATAGGCGCTTCTGCTGGAGGATGGTTTGGCGACGAGGACGACGAAGACTAACGCTCTTAGATGCAGTATTACTAGTTCGAATTTTATGACTACATGACGTTGAATGCCAGCCTGTTGCTTTTCCTTCTATCTATTCTTGAAACTAGAATACTTGAATTTGCAAGCTTACGGGCATGAGATTCTCATCATCGTCAATGCCTTTGTTTTTACGAGTGTAGGTCACAAATCGTTGATTCTATGAATAGGAGTATGGAAAGTTCAAATGCTCTACATGTTCTCTGAGGTAATTGAAAATGATTCTTACTGCACACCGCAATCATTATATTACGTATGGCAGCTCTTGTGAATATGTGCAGTGTTTTGTTTGTTCAAGGTTATTGGTCGAGCTTTCACGACTGTACAGCTTTTAATTTCTTCGTTGGAGCCAAAGCATTATTTCACATTGTGTTTGTAAGTCCCTTTGCTACATTTGTTAACAGCATTTTGTCGTGATAGAGGCTTCAAGTGCGTGCCTTGAGTTGTAGGCGCGTGCGAGGCGAAATCGTATAGTCGCTCGACACGACCGTGGCTCCGAGCTACAGTAGTACAGCCGCACATGTGTTCATATGTTGACTCTTTGCACGAGGTTGCTGTACAAGACTGTAAATTGTTGTGAATAATTTTTTGTTGTGTGCCAAAATTTCTCAAATAGCTCTAAACTTTTCATATCCTGCTGTGCTTTCATTCTTCCGTTTCTCACCGTTCCTTGAGAATAAATGTTGTTGTAAGTCGAATTTACAAAAATGATTGGAGCATACCTCACCTCAAATTCGAATAAGACTTACGAGTACTGCAAAGTAAACTTAGGATGTATGCATGAATAGCGTATGGACCGAAGTCATTAAGATTTACTGTCACTAACATACTAACGCTGGTTTTTTGGGCTCAAACACAGCCTGCGTTTGTGGAAAAGTCAGTCTGCTAGAATAAAGAAGGAGCTAGAGCTAGAAGGTGAAGCTAGATGGTGGAACTGTTTTATCGTGAGCAAGTATGGAAGCTCAAATGGCTACAATGACGACTTTCAAATAGAACTTCATTTCAAAAGCTAATTTGGCATGCGATCGTTATAAAGTAACTGTTGTGTCAAAATTCGTCATTATACTTTCTTATTCAAAATACACGACTCTCTCAGATCGCATGCTTTCAAGTCAGCCACCTCCACAAGACTTTTACCTTGAAAGAATTTCTTTATCTCGTTCTTAGCACTCGTCGCGATTATAAGACTCCAGTGTAAAGATTTTCAAAATTCAGAACAACTATGTACTTACGAGCTACAAGCAAAATCTTTAAAGCTCAATGTAGCTCTGAAATCCTTGAGAACAAGGCATTTCAATCCCTTGCGCCATATACAACTCCAAAATATGACTAGCGTGTTGGCGTTATTCACATCAATTTTTGAGTAAGAGAGCCTATGGGTAATCCGGTCTTCATTTTTTCGATAAATCTCGCGTAAATTACTGCTACTAGATAAAGCAGCGTAGCCATATGTGAAATTTCTTAAACGAAGCATTTACTTCAATGACTCTAAGCCGTAGAGCTTGATTCAAAGTTCTAGTGTAACCTCTGTTTACCACACTTCTATTGTTGAATATGCTATTGAAAGATGGGTGGCGTATCGTAAATATCAATCACAGTCGCAACTTTCTCTACACCTTCGCTTGATTTATCGCCTAAAAGATCAAACAATCAAAAGAACTAAGAGGTAAGTCGTCAGAATCTGTCTGAATGAACAACAGAGATAGGTTAGATTCGCTGCTACATCATCAGAAGTAGCGATGCTTTGGATGTGTAAGCAGCTAAAACGGTGCAGCCAAGATCCGATATTTGTAGCTACGAATCACAGCAAGGAGGCTCTGGAAATAATTCGTTTCTCTATGTTGTGTTTACTTCCTTCCCAGTGCAAAAACTCATCCTGACAGGGAACTGCTTCTAATTATGTCGACGACGGTAGGCGGAAGGAGGGGTTACTACAGACCATAGGTCGTGACGTATGCCCACGCCGATCCTGTTCTTCAAAGACGCTCTATAAAGGCGACCGAAGTAGCAGACGGACCAGCGGTGGACTGCTTGCTCTCTGCACTCGCAATTCTACAAACGTTGAACATGCACATCACTTCCAGACATTTGTTCTTTGGTCTCTCGCTCAGCGTTCTTCTGCAAGGTGTGTGTACCTATCATGTCGGAATTTCTTGGAAAAATCTTGCACCAGAAATTTTTGCAACTTCTTTAGTGTTTCCATGGATTTTTGATTAGTACAAAGGGTGAATTTCAGTAGTTGTGGTGGATCATCTAAAGCTTTTTGATAATGTTAAGATAATAATAATAATGCACGAGAATAATCGGAGCACATTGAAGTTGGCATTTTCATTTTCAGGTTGCTGGTCAATCACTGCCGTTGATGTTTACAAGCGACTACTAGAAAAGGAAAGAAACATTGACAATACTTTTGCCTTTAATCTGATTCGACCCATCGGCTCCGTTGGAGGTGAATTGGTGAGTATTACGTTAAAATATTGCTACTTCATGATTGTTCCTTTTTGTACTTCCTTGCTTATCTAAGCATAATGAGTTGGCTTCTCAACCGAAAGTTCAAATAAGTGAAGCTAGACGAGATATATGTTAAGGTAGTACTTCTATTTCAAAATCAAGTGAATATTTCGAATTAATTATGTCTGATGTAAAAATGGAAACATGTACTTTCTTGTCCTGCTTCCTTTACCAGAATCCTCATGAATTCTGCACATACTCACAAGAATTGTTTTTTGCACCCGAAAATACCATAGCTTCTTATATATGATTATGTATTGTCAAACCAGCAATATAGTTTACCTGCCTGAAAACAGGACGTTCCCAAATATGTTCGCTCATTGTTTTGGCAATACCACGTGCTTGTACAATTCGTGACGTAGTCAAGCATCGTTCTCTCGACCAACGACTTCAGTAGCTTTCCTATGTAGCTTGCAAAAACTCGTTTTCATCGTAATGTTTGGCATTCTCCCGTCTACTTTGAAGAACATTTCAGATTTGGCCGCGAAGCTACGACTCTTCCAATGAGCTGACTTTCGACGAGAATGGGGCCGCGTATCCCATACACGAACGCCCTTCACTGTCCAAAATATTACGACGATCCAGGATCTCGTCCTTGAATGGCAACACTGCCTACAAGGATAGTTATAATTACTACAGCAACTTCAACAACTTCAGTTGATTGCTTTTTCACTGCTTTAGTTCTGTTTATATCTCTTTGATGCGATTATGATGATTACGGGTCCAATGATCTTAATGTTTGTATATAGCGATTTCAGTTTCCAGAATAAGAGTGATTTATACTTACACTGTGTCAAAGGGGAACCTCAAACATGTGAATCATGATGAGTGTGATGCGATTTGATAGGTGGTATGGTAATCTTATCGTGTTTCCCGTCCTTGAACTCCAAAAAATCGCACACAGACTTTCAGTAATCTTATACCAAATCTGTAATTCTTCACATAATGGCTATGATTACCATATCGGTGGTATGTTTTGTTGCTTCTGCCTTTTTTGAGCAGATTTCGCAACAGAGGACCACAGTCTCGTTGAGTTTAATATGCTCACGGACGAGTGCCTCATATACATAGAACCTTAGTTTTCAAAACCCTGGAAGTGGAAGTACGACCAAAATTGCTTTTTATTTCACTAATTCATGAGTCGTTACCTCGTCCTAAGGACATCAAAAACTAATAATCATAATTTTTGCCTTAGATTTTGGTCCTATAGTGCAAAGTCTGTCAACAATATTACGTCGTAAGACCCAGACAAAGAAAGCATCTATGACGAATAAGAAAGTCAGAAAAGCTGCGGGATATTTTTCATTACTGGTATGGAAAGACAGGAATGTTGTTTTGTTGTTATTGAGTGCTGTTATCCTCACTTGACCAGAATAGCCACTGAAAAGACTGTTTTCAACAATTTCGAAAACTGCGATTTTGCTGCACAGTTGCGACAAAAATCATGAATAGGGCCTATCTGATGTTGCGATCTGCACTGCCTATGTCACAATAGACCTCCAATGAGCTAAACAGAGATCCAGGGACTGAATTTACTTAGAATGTATAGGTCATCCATAAAGTCGTGACGGCAGATTTGATTGCGGTCATTGCGCCCACAGAAGCAGAAAACACTCATACAAAAAGGAATTACTTCAACTCTCAGCTCAATCACTTTTAGAGCCTAAATGCTACCAACCGTAGGCAGAAGCCATTCGAGTAGAGAATGACAAAAAAGAAAATAACGGTTGCCAGAAGGTGCGTGTGTGTCGCGCGTAGTCGCGCCATCGTAACGATATTTTGAATTCCCTATAATTAGTCTAAGCGGTCATCTGGGGTGAGGAGTATGCTGAAAGTACATACTGACCTCGAGACTGCCTTCCTTATCAGCAGAACGCTACCAAAAAAGTTACAAGTTTGACTGTGTTGGTATACTAGCACCTAAAGAATGTATGGCGAGCATTATATGGCGAGATGTAGCGTCTATTGCACGAATCTCATCGTCAGTCTCGAATCCTTTCATAATTGCCACTTGCGTTCTTTTTATAACTCTACAGCTTTTTTCAGGAGAGGGTTCCTTGGATACGGATGCCAAATTAGTTTGAATCTGGAACTACGCTCAGTGATAGGCATTTGGCCACTGTGACCAATAGTACTTTCTTGGTGAACATTATGTCCCGAGGGTTCTGTATCATCTTTAAAAATTCGTAACCTTTCACTATCTTGACGGATTCGCTTCTTTATAAATAGTTCTCGGATACTGCATTTCGACAGAATTATGTTTCGATTTAAAGGCAGTGTCCGGGCAAGATGGAGGTTTTAAGATTTCAGTGCCATGCGAGAGTGGCCCCCTCGGACAAAACATCGCGCAAGTGCGAGGTCATAACGCTCGACCTAAAGCAAGAAAACGACCGAAAAATAAGGGAACTTACGCCTTGGGGCGGGGTCCTCCGAGCTGTCCGGAATTCCTGCTATGCGGCAGTACGCATGCCGCCTCAGAAATAGGCTGTACGACTGCTTTGTATCTCAAAAAAGTGCATGATCTGTCTTCACGGTAAGGTTGGCGACTATGGAAAACTAGGAGTGATATATCAGCTGAGTGTTTAGAATGCGGCGCCACTACATGGGAGAAACAGGGCGGGCCTTGGCGTGAGACTCAAAGAACATCTAGCTAACAAAAGGCGTATTAGTCTCAATTCGCCGTTAGCGAAGCATAGACATGAGCCGCATTGTGATAGAGACTAAGAAGTTAAATGTTCCATTTCCACAATATCGAGCTGCCTATTGTAGCTTTGGCACCACTAACACATCAAAACGGATTGCATGATAACGCCAGTGCACCATCGGTGAAGCGGCGCTGAGGTTGGTTCGTCTTTCTCTTCAGGCGAATTTTGCTTGTAAAATTGGAGGGCGGAACGCATCCAGTCAGAGGATGAAAAGAATTCAATGGAATAAGCATTAGATCTAATTCTCGAACCACTTTAGGCCTCTGAAGGCGACGATAATTTGAAAAGTAAAGGCTGCATTAATAAAGGGCTTCACCAAACCTCGTATTGGCATAGCAAAATCAACATAATCATACGACTTGTCATTAAGTTTCTTTCCTCCATCACGGAACGAAAACGTTTTAAGACCAATGAATAATTACAAAGGGACCCCATTGAGAAACTCTATAAACTCAAAGCATATCGCAGAAAACTGTAGCTTTACTTGCCTAGAGAAATGAAAACTTACTGTTTTTTAGGTAGTGTTGTGTTGAAATAGCAGATATTTGATTGACCTCGCTGACATAGGGTGTAATCCTCTTGCCAACCGGTGGGATTTGCACGTCAATCTATTCAACTGCCCTTAGGTGGTAAAACTAAAGACATGCCCTTTTAGTCATCTTGTGGAAATCCGACAGAATGTTCATAAGTAACCTTTGATTCAACTGGCTTGGCTTCGAGAGGGTGGGGCTTTGTGACGTAATCAAGGCCGCTCGCGCCCGCGACGCACCTGCGTCTCTCTCGCGCCGGTGCTCTTTGATCACTAGCTAGCCGTGATTAGGTCACGGAGCCACGCCTTTCCGAAGCCAAGCCAGTTGAATGAAATGGTAAACACATTCAAAAAAACTTTCACTTTGCACAAAAGGCTGATGTTGTTGCTGAGTTTGACAGTCGACGAAAACTGAGTGAAATGTTTGCGAATTTGATATTGGTTGCATTTTCAAGAGAATACCTTCAACATTCATGTTCAAATTTAATTTGTATAATGAGGAGCCCTGATACTATCTAGTCTATCTCCTTACAAATTTTAAATGCATTCACTTAAATAATGCATTTAATTATGTGCTGCTTGATGTCCGGTAACAATGAAAATCGCGTTTCTTGACATGCTACTTAAACCGAAAAAAAACGTCTAAAAGTGGAAGCAAAACTCTCGGCAGAAACTGAATCTTCACTGAAAAAGTGTAACTGCTCACGTTCTTGAACTGAGATAACTCGTTGTTATTCTATTTTTTTAGCATGACCTGGAAGAAAATATAAAAGTATTTGAAATTTTGCTTAAAAGTTAATATTAGGTCATTCCGAAAGTAATTTCGCTTTTTTCAAACGGGTGCCACATTTGATGGAACAAACATTGCTAAGAGGTCTTGGCAGCATTCGATGCAGCATTTCATCCTCTTTTTAATGGTCATGAGATTATGCAAAACAATCCATGATCTTTCAGAAAATAACCAAAATCAGCAACCTATGCTTTTTGAGATGGTCAAGTTTCACAATTTTTCAAAACTTTTATATCAATCCTCCGAGAAAGTACAAGTAACGTAATTATAGGGCAAACAATACAAAATGCAAAGCAGCTTTTTTCTCCTTCCATTAGCTTGTACATTTTTAACAGAATTTTAACTGATGCTACTGATTTCCATTCTTAGACAGCTAAGTCCTCGTAGAACATCAAAGGAAGAGCAGCTCGGGCATTATTTGATGCAGCATTTTCTTCTCTTTCTAACTGGTGTTTCTTGTTTACGATTCGTTTAGTTTTCGTGAATATAATCATCATAATTTTTATGAACGAGCCCCAGGCTGTGCCCGAAAAACTCGGAATTTGATATTTCGACACAATAAATTCTCACTTGCTTTGTAAAATTAGTGCTAACTCATGTTACCATCTTGGTAGTCTCAAATTCCGAATAAATGTGATATTTGATGCGATTATGGCTGATATAGGCCTGCCACTATCCGATAGTTTTGTTAAAGAATCTTTTATAAAAATTACGGCGAGATGTGAAAAAGATAAAAAAGTTGCACTGTAGTCTATGAGGTTTGCTCTATCGAATCTTTACTTGAACTCCTTTTGAGGATGGATATGAAAGTTTCAAAAAATTGTGAAATTTGACCATCTCAAAAAGCATGGGTCGTAGATTTTGCTTATTTTCTGGAGGATCTTTGATTGTTTTACAATAATTTCATAATGTTAGAAAGAGGATGAAATGCTGCATCGAATGCTACCAAGATCTCTCAGAAAACTTTGTTCCTTCAAATGTCGCGCCCCTTTGAAAAAGCGAAATTACTTTCGGAATGAAGTAATAGATATGATTGTATCTATATGTGCCTTACTATCAACCTAGTACATTCTTGGTAATGAAGAATTTTTTCGTCCATTCTAATCGATAACTGATTGTAATATCAGCATCCTGGCATACCACGCAAAGGTCAAGATTTTATTTATTTAGTATGCATAGGAAAGTCCTTATGAGAAACAAGAACAAACACAACAAAATCAACAACGAAATAAACGACAACAGCTTATATCACCGGTCATGAGAAGATTGCAAATAGCTTTGTAGAATACATTCAAAGGTAGAAAGTTTATCCTATAATCAGGGAGCTTCGTATGAAATGTCCCCCCCCCCCCCTCCTCCCCCTTCTCAAAGCCGCCGTGAAGAAGAATCTGACTCACCTTGGTCGAGAGGTGCGAAGTAGGTGTGAGATAGGCTGTTCGATGAAATATTCCTCCCTCCCCCCCCCCCCCGTCCCCCACCCTGGAAGGCTAGGCTTGGATCAACATAATCAACAGCAGTCAACATAATCATGCGATTTCTCACTGAGATTTTTCCTGCATCGCAAGGTAGAAAACTTGAGACCAATGAATAATTACAGAGAGACCCCATTGGGAAAGTATATAAATTCACAAGCATAC